TTTCATTATCATTTCTGGAATTATCTTCTAACACACTTCTCCTACATGATAATAATGTTGTTTGCTTTTCAACTATCTAAAATAACAATAAATAATATTATTTCTTCAAATCAACAGTTTATACATAAATAGTATCCATTAAAATTAATTATAATGCACGTTTAATACATATGTACGAGGTCTACAGTATAACAGCAGTTAAATAAAAAGATAAATGCAAAATATAAATACCATACTTTGCATATCTCTGGTGGGTAATCAAATATTGTTGGTATTGCATCATCCTTTAATTTTTTCCTATTGACATAACCTTTTAAAAAACAATCATCTGCAAAATGTTTGGAGCATAAATAATGATATTTTGTGGGTTTAAAATCCTTTCTCTGCAATGCAGCAACCCAATTCTTTAATTTCTCTGGATTACTTACAGGAAATCTATAAAAGCACATACAATGTATTAACACATGCAACTAGAATTGGAATTTGTACCTTATTATTAATTTACAAATCAATAGTCACTAGCTTTTGAGTAGAAGTTACTTTTAGCGTGACCGGCAGTAGCCAATCATATTTTGACCCCCAGATGACCATACTCTGGTTATAGAGGGCTCTAGTCTGCTATTAGTTTACAGTTCAATAAGTTCGATTTTGGAACTTTACAGTTAACTTATTTCCAGTTTATTTTTCTTTAATAACACTACTTATAATGCAAATAAAAACCCTTAAAAACCTGCCTTAAAAAGGATCGGTAGATACCTGGAATATGGAGAAAAATTTCCCCATATTCCCTAATACGTAAGGAAATTTTTCCCTACGTATTAGGGAAAAGGGAATATGTGTAGGGAATGAAGGAGTATACAGTATATAGTTTACATATATGGGCTAGTTAGAATTTTTGTGACATTATAGAAATCTTTAAGAAAACATATGTAATAAATGAGAAAAATTAACAAAATATGCAAATTTATTTCCCAATCTCTTAAAATATTATCTGAATATATTCTCTTAAAAAATGAAAAAAAAGTACAATGTTCAATAAACATTCTATTTATTTAAACTTTCCATGTTTAAATCAAACATAATATATTAATTTTATCACAGTTTTATGGCTATGTGTAATACATATATTCCAATTATTTTTGATTTATAGCATTAATCTTATTGACAGATCAAAAGACTTTGATGATGTAGTTCTTTACACACACAACTTATTTTGATATATTGTCTAATAATAGTTTTAATTAAGATANGGAATTTTTCAGGGGTGGTCGTTCGGATATGTCGGACCCCGCCCCTCACAACCCGGCAGCCCCATTGTGGGCCTAGCCGAACCCATAATGGGCTTGCAAAAGCGGCCCTCTTAGAGCCCACAGGGCGGAAAGAGTTAAAAAAAAACCCTTCCATTATAGTATTTGATTTATAGTTACAAAGGTTATCTTACGTAAGAGTTTATCATATCGAGTGCCCAATCTAACACATTTTAAAAATTCTCTAAACTGTGTACAGTAGAGGAATAAAGAATTTTTAACTGTGATTGGTCATTCGGTACGATACGTGAGATAACAGAGAGGTTGCGGCCGAAGTTTTCACTTTAAAAATTTGTTATTCTGAAATTATTAAATTATTCAAAAGGCTTGCCTGAAGTGAGAACAAAATCCGTATTTTTAAATGAAAGCGCGACGCATTTCCATAATGCCATCGAATTAAAAGTTTAAAATATTTAAATTAAAGTGTACAAATTTAATTATTATTAAATTGCTCTGTGAGAAATTTCTTGCCATCAATTTTGAATATGAAATCGGTTATAAATTGGTTTTAATAAAAATCTACACACAAGTTTGAATTTGTAAGTATCCTAATTTAGTGATAACAATGTCGGTTGCAATGCAAAATCATTCATAAATACAAAAGGTTTCATCATTTAACATTTATGGAGATAATTCTTCCACAAGTATTCATTGAAGATGCTTCGTAAGAGGATGCGAAAACACATCCTCCTATATAGATGCATGGTGAGTGAAGAAAAAAACCCTTTTAATGACCTAAGGGCTCATTTTTTCATGTCCATCGTGATTAAGGCTAAACTCAGTTGGGGCGAGGCTCAATATATTGCCTGTGAGAAATTTTTCAGGAGTGGCTCGCCGAATTCGATCCCGAGTCCTCCAAAGAAGTAAGCCAACACCTTGGCTTGCCTTAATCTTATCGTAGATAATTCACGAAAGTATTTTATGAACTTTTGCAATTGATAAAGAACAATCATTGAAATTGATTGAACAGATTTATTTCGTGAATACCAGACTTTTAAATTTATGGATTTATTTTGCAATTTTTAACAACAAAGAAATCATTAAATTACAGAAATGAATTCGATATTTCTTTTTTAAAATATACCAATAGAAAAATGAAAGCCATAAACTCCGGTTTTCAATTATTGTATATTAATCCAATAGTACTTAGATGAAAACTGAAAATTAAAATAGGTTTAAAATAGATTTTTTCAACTTTTATGACATTATTCCATCTGTAGTTCCTTTATATATTGGAAGTAATTTATAAATTTAATAACTAAATTTTAAAATAAATGGACCAATTTTAATTTATTAGACAGTGATAAATAAAAAGTTCAAAATAATTTTTATTGGTGGATACATTTTTATTATTAAAAATGTTTTACTCTCAAGAACATTTTCAATTGGATTTGAATTCAAACTTTCGAATTCTTTTTAAATACGCCTTCAGAATTTCGAATTCCGTTATTCTGCTTCTTTCGTTCTGCAGAAAAGCAAGATGAACAATTCTCCAAGTGAAAAACTTAGAAAACGAAGCCACAGTCGCTCCAAATCCAAAGAACCTCCAGAAAAAAAGAAGATAACTCCTTTGGATAAAAATGTAAATGAAGATTTTTACTCCGCTCAAAATGGAGATAAGTTGGATGGAAATATCACTCTTGGAAAGCAAGCACCCAGCCCAGAAGAAAGAGCTCGTTGGAGAAGATTGAAAAGATCGGGGAAAGATAAAGCTCAGAAAAGAAAGCTTTTGAGACTCATGAAAGAGCGACACAAATCGAGAAGGAAGAGAAAAAACACAAAGAAAAGTCGGTCCAAGCCAAGGAGAAAGGGAAGAGGCAGAAGTCCATCCAAGAAAAGACGCGTAACAAAGAGAAGACGCATCCAAAGGAAAAGTAGAAGTAAGAAAAGAACATCACGGGCGTAAGGGTGCTAATAAAGTAATGTCTTCGATTTTGGATAACGGTATAGCTAGATTTTTATAATTTAGTTAACAAAAGGCTCTTTTCAGAGCCATTTTTTAATGTTAAGGAGTAACCGAATCGAATTTTTAAAAATTTACTAAATTATATACGATATAAGTATCGTATTTGTATTTAAAGAAATTTTCTGTAACCGAGAATATTCAAATATAACCATTCGAATTGTTTAAATTTAAAAATAGTTAACGATTTTCAAACTCATTCAAAATTTATTTTTTATTCTGTCGAGTTTTTTAAATCATACACAGGAAAAATAAGAAATATTTGTTTAAAATTTTATATTTTGTAGTCGGTTTTAGATAATTTTAGAAATTCGTTCGTTAGAATTTCGAACGCTGAATTTAAGAATTTTAAATTTTTTCAACATCATCGTTTTCCGTGAAATTTGCAATGAATAAATATTTACTTCGTATTATTAAGGATAATAGTTAAGTAAATAAAATATAGCATAATACTTTCTCCTTTTAAATGGTTGTCCATCAGAGTTCTATTTCTTATAATTCCTGTGTATGATTTAAAAAACTCGACAGAATATAAAATAAATTTTGAATGAGTTTGAAAATCGTTAACGATTTTTAAATTTAAACATTTCGAATGGTTATATTTGAAATATTCTCGGTTACAGAAAATTTCCTTAAATATAAATACGATACTTATGTCGTATATAATTTAGTAAATTTTTAAAAATTCGATTCGGTTACTCCTTAACATTAAAAAATGGCTCTGAAAAGAGCCTTTTGTTAACTAAATTATAAAAATCTAGCTATACCGTTATTCAAAATCGAAGACATTACTTCATTAGCATCCTTACGCCCGTGATGTTCTTTTCTTACTTGTACTTTTCCTTTGGATGCGTCTTCTCTTTGTTACGCGTCTTTTCTTGGATGGACTTCTGCCTCTTCCCTTTCTCCTTGGCTTGGACCGACTTTTCTTTGTGTTTTTTCTCTTCCTTCTCGATTTGAATCGCTCTTTCATGAGTCTCGAAAGCTTTCTTTTCTGAGCTTTATCTTTTCCCGATCTTTTCAATCTTCTCCAGTATTTTCTCCAACGAGCTCTTTCTTCTGGGCAGGGTGCTTGTTTTCCAAGAGTGATATCTCCATCCGATTCATCTCCATTTTGAGTGGAGTAAAAATCTTCATTCACGTTTTTATCCAAAGGAGTTATCTTCTTCTTTTTTTCTGGAGGTTCTTTGGATTTTGAGCGACTGCGGCTTCGTTTTCTAAGTTTTTCACTAGGAGAATTGTTCATCTTGCTTTTCTGCAGAACGAAAGAAGCAGAATAACGGAATTCGAAATTTTAAAAGCGTATTTAAAAGGAATTCGAAAGTTTGAATTCAAATCCGATTGAAAATGTTCTTGAGAGTAAAACATTGATTGATATTTTAATGAAGCGGCAAGAGAAAATAAATTATTTACGCGTACAAATTTGAATATATTTATTGATTTCGAATCTATGAATATTTAAATAAACGATTTAAACCCGAATTAAATATTAAAAACAATTGTAGACTTATTAAGAAACTTTTTACGTCTCACGAATCAATAAAATCATCCGAAAACATATTTTAAACGTGTATTAATATTTATTTAAACGGATAATAATTTACAGAAGGAAAAATTTATATAAAAATTCTACGAAAAATAATTCGAAAACATCCGAAAAAAAATACGTAATTAAATATTTCAAAAACAAATATTGTAAACATTAAAACAATTTCGAGCGTCCCCTAGCGGTGAAATTTGTTTTTAAACAAGCGCGCGGAGTTTCGCTTGTTCGGAATAGTTATAATGATTGAGATTGGTGACAGCTCGTCGATTTTTCGTATAATTTAACGAAGTTATAACAATAACAGCTGGAAAAATTACCGGAAAGGAGTCATTATCGTTTATATTTTAACCAAAAATAATCTTAACGATGTTCGAAGTGAGTGTAAGATGGGATGTTAGGGTTAAAAGCCGACTTTAATCAAATCTGATAAAGTAACATGGCGGACTGTGCCGAAAATTTAGCTACTGCTACGAGCGACAACGAAGAAAAATCGTTAAAGGTATACTTCGATTTACTTATTTACGATAATAATTTACATCCTTTTTAAGTATTAACGACAAATTTTTATATTTTTATCGACAAGATGGCGAAGTGTTGTTGTTGTTTGTGTACACGAGAGAGGGCGCTGTATGGTATTTTTTTGAAAATGATTATTTAAAAAATTTCTATGGTTATTTTCATACAATTCTCACTTACGATCGAATTATTCAATCTAAATAAACTCATTTATATAAAAATATTAGTAAAAAAAAGGGTTTTTTTCTTAATTGATGATGCTTAATGAATTCCCCTATAAGATTTATGATTAGATGACGAAAATCAATAATAAATGGCTAACAATTACCCTGTGTTGTATCCTGTTTTCTGGTGTTCATCTCCATAACATTTATTCGTATTCATCTTCGTGTGATTAATTTGAAACATTTGACAGATATTTATAGTTTTAACAGATGTTTAAACCTGTTAAAATAATACATTTTTAAGCTTGTTAATTTTTCTTATTTATCAATAAAATAAAATTATTCAGCAATTAAAATCGTTCTTTACTTATCATTTATAAGGATATTTATAGGTTTTTCTAAATTTAATGTGTGTTGTGGCAGTTTTTACTAATCACTAGATCAGACATTATATACACTTGTATGTAATAATCTGTTTTAAATCTAGTATAATTAATTTAAATGCTGTTTTATATATTATGGGTTAATTTGTAAAATTTTATTACTTAATTAAACATTTTTTTTCTTTCTGCGATTATTTGATAGCTTTAAGTTATATCGTAATGCAATATAAAATGCCGTGTAATCTCAGCAGACGTCGGTAAAATTAGTAATAAAATAAATTGTTATTAAACTCAAGTTTGTTATTATATATCAGGTGCACATATACTGAATATCAGTACAATTTTAAGGTTAGTATTACCAAATGAACCTACAGATCATTTATCAGGCTATATTAAGGCTAATTTAATAATATGTAAAACAAGTTGACTACAGGTAGGTGGTTAGGGTACTATTTGAAGATAAATTTAATAATTAGAAATAAATAAATTTAGAATATTCTGAAAGAAGACTTGAACACATGATAAGCAGATGTAGTTGTCGGTCATGCTGCTCACATCTCCATCTGATCTTTATTTCCAGAATTAATTAATTTAGATATAATCAGAACAGTCACTCATTCATCTGCATGGTAAGCAAGGGTTGTGGGTTCAACTTCCACTCTGGTCCTATCTTTTCTTCCAAAATTTAAATTAGAAATAAATTAATTTCTAGTTATAGTATTAAATGTATCATGAGATTGCAGCCTAACTACCTATTTTTTTTTTGCTAAATTCTTTATATTTAATTATTAAATTAAATATAATATAGCCTGATAAATAAGCCTTCAGATTGTTAGACATTACTAATTGAATCAAGTTGTATATGTGATTATAAGATTGCAATTGAAATGTAAAATTGCAAATAAATAACGTAAAAAATGAAAAAATTTTACATTTATGCTAAAAATATTTAATTACAGTAGAACCTCGATTATCCAGACTAATTGGGGATGAAAATAGTCCGGATAAGGAAAAATCCGTATAATCGAAAAAATAATAATTGACAGTGAAAGACATGTACAGTACATACAGTATGAATAATTTTTATTTGTCTAGATTTACATATACTGTAGCTTCAATATTAAATTATTTTTTATTGAGAAATTCAATTATTGTTTAACTTCATAATTTTTTCACTTTGTTTTTTTTATATCAGATCGTTGACGTTCCAACACCATATTTATTAGATAATGAATGTCCAGACTCGCCGCGTTTCAAACCATTGATTATAATCCAATTTGTCTTTAATGATAATACAACACATTTTCTTTTTGATGTCGTATCGGTAGTAATAAAAATAAATACTGTATTTAAATTGTGATCAAATTTTCAAGAAACAAACGTTCATATTGAATTTGGACTACTACTAACCGGCACTAACAGACTGCCTATTGTTTAAAGGCCCTCTGGTGGCGCAAGAAGACGGATTTTTTAAATAAAAAGCAGTTGAAACTGTCAAATTTTTATTCATAAAAATGCAAACTATTTATCGTTTTATGAGGAGTAAAATGTTTTTGTCGCGTTCACGGCTTTTAAGTAATGCATAAACCTTCAAGGTGCGAGGCCATAGGCGGTGGCCCACGTCGCCCATGCCTTACGCCGCCCTTGGCCATAGAAATGATGTAATTTCATTATAAATTATAAATATGTATGTCAAGTTATATTTTTATTACAACAAAAAATGTATTAAAAAGTTTATGACCACTGTGTGGGGTGAGACGTTGCTCGAACAAAAAAAAGTTTGACCTATATGTTCCATCATGTACTGTACATAAACAGTATTGCAATTCGCCAAGTGCAAATCAGCAAATTCGTAAAATTTTTGTTTATTTTGAACAATCTGGATAATTGAAAATTTGGATAATCGAGGTTCTACTGTATTTAGAGATCCCAAATATGAATATTTCACAGTAGTTTATAAGAACAGGGGATTGAATTACCGGTAAATGGTTAACTGGTAATGTCCTAGTTCTTACAGACTAGAAATCAGTAATCAGGTTTAAAAAACTGCATTGGTAAATATATCTGCAATTTGATATACAGTAGAGCGTCGATTTTCCGAAAGTCAATCATTCAAAACATCAATCATCCGAAAGATTTCCAGTCGGCAAATTTAAATTTTTGCCAGTGCTGTGGAGCTTCAATCTTTGGCTATGTCTTGGGCTACTCAAATATTTTATGTTTTTGATACTAAATTAACATCTGAAGTATAATTTTTGATTGTTTTTATATTTTTCAATATATTTATTTTGTTTGTACAAAATAAAAAAATAATTTTTAACGATACAATAGTCTTTGTTAGGCTTAACATCGACAAAAATTCAACGCAAGGCGACATGCAATGGAGAAAAATTTCGACATCGGATACGTTAAACTATTTTTTCGTGCATAAATGGGTTATCCGAAATATCAGTTATACGAACAACCCCAGTCCCCAATTGATTCGGAAAATCAATGCTCTACTGTATTCTTACTGCTAAATTCAGTAAAAAATAGCAGAGACAATAATTTTTTAAAGTCAAATATTTATTTGTATACACTTTCATATGTATTAAATACAGAAATACCAAATATATGTATTTAAATCATAAAAGTAGTTTGTCATTTTTCATTTAAATTTCAAAATGGCTACTAAAAAGTTATAGCATGCTCAATATTTTGGGAAACTTAACTTTCACTTTTTAAAATAGAGAAAAGGGAATTTAATTGGTCATAGAACACTAAATATTTTAGTTGCCACCTCAACAACTAAATAATCATTGATGCAGTAATTTTTGCATTATTAACTAACTATTAATAATAGAAAAAATGTAAAAATCTCCAACAGATGTTGAAACATAGACAAATTAAAACCATGTACCATATACAAAATTTTCCAGCACATAATATGTATTTGAATTAAATACAAATGGAATGTTTTCAGCCTAAAATAAACTTTTTAGAAAAGTTAGAATTTCTAACGTTCAGTAAAGAATGACACTTGATACAGGCTCCTAAAAGAGGCCGAAAACATTTGTTTGTATTTAATTCAAATACATATTATGTGCTGGAAGATTGTGTGTATGGTACATGGTTTTAATAGAAAAGGTGGCTCCATTGATATAAATGTAAGAAAAGAAACTGAAAAGTGGTTAGAGTTGATATATTTGTTTGGATTAAGTGCTTTTTGGGATTCTCAATCCCATCTTCATATCAACAACATCGGACGTTGATCTGAAGATGGGATTGAGAATCCCAAAAAGTGCTTAATCTGAATAAATATCTTGACTCCTTTAACCACTTAAAAGTTTTTCTTACATTAATAATAATTTCATCAGAATTTGAATTGCATATGACAGTTACCAATATCTCCTTTATATAAAGGTAAAATTTCATAAATTTTAAAAAATACCAATTGTGACAATTCTGGCTTAATACATAAATAAATCACACCACCAGCAAATGAAAAATTTTTACCCTAACTCAGGGGTCGCCAAACTTTTTTAACCATTGATCCCCAATCACTTTCCAAAGCCTCACATTGACCCCCACCATAAAGTTTTATTACAAGTGTATGTGTATGAGCAAAAAGAAAAAAAAACGTGGTCTCTGTGTAAGCAAAAAAAAAAGGGTTGTGACCCCTTAGCCGCATCGACCACTTTGGCGACCCATGCTCTAACTAACATTTTTTTTTCTGTTTTAAAACAGACATCAGACATCACATTTAACTGATAGAACCTAAATGGAAGAACAAGAAATAATTAAAATCTTAGAACAGAACATTTTAAAATTACAGATGGAGTGTGCAAAGGTGCACATGTCATGTGATGCATTGAATTAGGCAATTCGAATAGTGCTCTCCAGGCTGATGAAATAATCTGTCACCTTAAAGTTAACTGTCATCCCTCTCCTGAAAGCTAAATTTCTACCCTTTTCAGATGTGTCAGCTGAAGCAGTTCCTTCACACTGTGTAGGAGTTGCAATCTACTTGCATATCATTATATAATGCATAGGCTGCATGCAAGTGCTGTGTTGGACAGGTGTTTTCTAAGCCTGTACTGATGATCTTTAATCCTTGTGCAGAGACTTCTAGCAGTGGCACCAATATATTTATAGAAACCTTTAATCTTTAATCCCAAATTGGAATAGTATAAACTCCTAGTAGGTGTTTTTTCTCAGTTTGGTCTCTTTCATTCCTAAGGAGTGAGAAAATCATAGGATTTCTTCTAAAAACAATTCTGTGCTCACTACATTGAACTATTCTGATTTTTATTTTACCTAAATATTGTTATATTCAGATATTTGAGAGTGTATAACAGAATGGGTAACACTTATAGATTACTAACTAAATAATGACGATAACTGACTATAAATGATTGATTACAATATTTAATGATTAATTCTGTATGAGAAATTTC